ACAGACTTTTGCATAAACTAGTTTTTCTTATTATTAGTCCTCATCTTAGTAACTGAACAGTGTGGTGGCCCCTTAAATTTTGTAGCAGCCCCATCCTAGCTTCAGCCCCGGGAAGTAGAGCCTGTATACATGGAGGCAGCAGTCTCTAGAGTAGCACAGGCTGAGTCTTTAGACTTGACTGGTCAGTCCAAAGGCCACAGAAGGAGCTTGAGCAAATAAATGATGTAACCTAAATGCCATGTATGGTGATTAGTGCGGAAGCAGTGGGCAGGAGGAGGAAAGAGACTGGGGGGCAAGGAGCAGGCAGGAAATGCACTGTGTGGCCCAGGCCTGTGTTGTTGGCGGACAGGAGAGCTGGCTGCTGGACCTCTCATGGGGCTTTGCCTGCCTACGCCATCCCCAGAACTCAACCTTCCTCAGGAGCCCAACAGATGCCGTGAATGCCAGCCTCTTGCCTCTTTCTGTTTTTAATGTGACTAACTGGTGCAAAACAGGAAGTGCTACCGTGACAATGGCATCATTTGTGGCTGAGAAATGAATTTCTGAAATCTGTAAATGCCGGGTCCCTGGTATGCAAGCTCAGCTGCACTTACAGTCTCCATATTGGAAGGGCCCGATTCCAAAAGGGGCCATGAGCCCACCGTGGACTCAAAAGCTGCTATATTCCCAAGATAGGATATGCTGCTTAGTCTCTGTAGAAATCCCAGGGGAGAGCAAGCCAGGCACTGCAGGGGCAAAAGGCCACGGCTGTCACTGTCAATGTGAAGGCAGAAAGAGCTACAGGGAGATTACCGAAGTCTTGCCCTGCCCCAGCCTTTGGTCATGGGTCAACATTTTCACCAGTGGTAGGGGCTGCAGCTGGATGAGCCCAGAGAGAGGTCAGAATGTGTGATGGGCACAGAGGTGCCGGGAGAGGGACACGACCCTTCAACTGGAACTTCTAGTTCTGATTCTCCCTGGGCAAACAAGTTGGGAGCTTTGAGAACTTGTAACAGAAAGTGCTAGTGTGGTCTGGAGAGGAAATGAAGCTTGATTGGAGACCTTAAGATTAATAGGAATGACTAAACCTGCCCTTGTGTCTTCCCTGGACCTGGAGGGATGCTAAGACTGACTCTTATATCTTAGCTCCCCTAGGCTCCGTAAGCCTCTGCCTCCGGTGTGTGATTCCTATCCTAACACTCAGTGATCTCTCTTCCTCCTTTTCCCTGGAGAGGTTGTACAGACTGTAGGAGAGCAAAGAGAGCAAAAAACTTCGCACAAAAGGAAAACAGGACAGTGCCTGCAAAAGCAGAGACACAGCCTAATGTGGAGAACAGAGGCCAGAATCCAAGTCCCTCCCAGTCACCTTTGTCTACTCAGAAGATGAGAACTTGCATTTTTTTCTGCCCTTGCACTCCCTGGGGCTGACATTAAAAAGAGCAAAACCATGGAGAGCAGTGTTGGCCTGTTGCTGATGGTTTCTCGTAGGTGTGGTGGGCAGGGTCTGGAACTCTATAGTACAATAGAGTTGAATCAAGAAATGGACTTTGATCCCTCTTCAATACTTTACAGAAATCTCAATTTCAGTGAGAAACCAAATCACCTTTTGGGGACCAAACCATCAGCCACACTATGTTGCTGTGGAAGGAATTGGTAAGTGACACACACATAGAGATGCAGAATGGAAATAAAATAATAAAAGCTTGATTTTGCCAGCAAAAGGCCGATTGCAACTAAGAGCAGTGGCAGTGATCGACCCCCTACTGGGTTACAGCTTCCTCTTTTATAGGTTTTACAGCATGATCTCATTCAGGTGGTTACATTTCCTCAGTTCATATTATCCATGTATAAATTACAGTAACAAGACAGTTAAGTTTAACCCAGACATAACAATTCTTTGCAGTTGAGGAGTTAACCTTAAGATTACTCTAGCTATCTATTCTAGTGCAAGGAAGGGGGTGTTCAAGGTCAGGGATGAAGCCAGATGTCCCATTTCATGGTCAACACCTCCGGTGTCTGTTAATTTTGAACTAAACAAAGCAGATTGCTGTTAGAGACAGTAAAAGTCATGTTACATTTTCCTAACATTTTGTGGGTTTTTAGAGTATTTACAAAAGTTCTCTCTGTCAGTGTTAGTCAGCTCAGGGTGCTGTAACAAAATCCCATAGATTGAGTGAAACAACAGAAATGTCTTCACTCACAGCTCTGGAAGGTAGAATTCCAAGGTCAAGGTGTCAGCATGGTCAGGTTCTGGTGAGGGCCTCTTCCTGGCTTTCAGACAGCCACCTTCTTGCCATGGAAGAGGAAAAAAAAAAGAACAGAAGCACTCTGGCATCTCTACCCCTAATTACCTCCCAAGAGTCCTGTCTTCAAATACCATCACCCTGGGCATTAGGACTTCAGCACCATAATCTGAAGAGAACATAAGTGTCCAGTCCAGAATACCTCCCATTGTTAGAGGCAACCTTTTCTAGAAGTTTCATATCTAATTCAAGTTGAAGAACCCCTTTGAAAAAATTATATTGAATTTCTATTTCAATCACCCATTGAATCCTTTCACCTTCTTTTTTCTTAAACTTTAAATAGCTACAATTACTTGGAATACAATAATTACCTGAGTTTAATTCTGTTTATTTTGAAGGGTACCTCCTTTTAGCTAAGCAATTGCAAATAATGACTTTTTTCTATTCTAAATTCTTTTGACTAAAGCAATTGCTTCTCCTCGGAAGTGCCTTCTGACATTAAGTACATTTCTCTCCCTTAGCAGTTTTTCTCAGATCTTAGCCATTGAGAGAACCACTGTAAGCACCCTGCCAGATACACAGTTCCACCTCCTGAGGCTCTAAATGTTAGTTTTAAGCTGCTAGAAAAAAAAATGAAAAGGAAGGGCTAGGGCATGTGACTGTCCTCTGCAGAGAAGTGCAGGCTAGAGGTGTTGCCTGGTTTGGGTTTCTAAAAACATGAGTTTTTATTTTGATAAAATATGTGTAATATAAAACTTAACCACCTTTAAGTATACAATTCAGTTTAAGGACATATTCACAATGTTGTACGACCACCAGCATTATCTATTTCTAGAGCTTTTTCATCATCCCAGAGGGATTTTTGCCTTTGCCACTAATCAGTAACCCCCATTTGTTCTCCTCTATCCACACTGGCTATCTTTCCCAGTGAGTCTGCCTACTCCAGGGTTCTCACAGAGGGGACTCACACAATTCTCCTTTTTCTTCTGAAGTATGTCACTTAACATCTTTATCTTAGCTCATTCAGGCTGCTATAATGAAATAACCCAAACTGGTATTTTAGCCTATGAACAACAAAAGTCTAATTTTTTACAGTTCTGGAGACTGGGAAGTTCAAAATTAAGGTGCTGGCAGATTTGGTGAGAGCTCATTTCTCATTCACAAATGGTGCCTTCTCAGTGTCTCCATGAGGTAGAAGGGACAAGGCAGCCCTCTGGGGTCTCACTTGTAAGGGCACTGGTCCCATTGTAAGGGCTTTGCCCTTATGAGCTAATCACCCTCTAAAGTCTTCACTTCCTAATGCCATTGCATTGGTGATCAGGTTCCAGTGGATGAATTTGTGAACTATGCAAACATTCAGATTGTAAAACATTCAGATTGTAAAGCCTTTCAAGATCCGTCTTCGTTATACCATGTATCAGAAAGAATTTCATCCTTTTTAGGGCTGAATAGTATTCCACCATGTGTATATTACTACATGTTGTTTATCCATTCAACTGTTGATGGACACAAGTTGTTTCCACCTTTTGGCTATTGTCTAATAAAGTTTAGCATAACAGATGACATCTGGCTCCATTGTGACCTAGAACCAATTTAACGACTCCCTTTATTTCATTCTCTGGAAATATGACATCACACAGAGCAACTTAGTTACCAGGGCACTCCAGGAAGGCTGAGGCTGAAGTGTGGGTAGCTGTAGTGCCTTAGGGGCCTTTGCAGAGCTACACTTTGGGATCAACTGATCTGAGATAGCCCCCTGAGTGGGTGGAGCTGAACGTCAGTCTTTCTGATTCTATAAGAAAAGAGACTCGTTCACACTCACCTCTCACTCCAGTGTCACTGAACACTCACTGTGAGTCCAGTGGTGAGCTTCCCTTCGTGAACGTACAGCTGCTAGAGGCAAACAGGGAAATCAACACTGACAACGCCCCAGGGAAAGGGCCCTGGGGAAGAAGGCTGCCTACTGTTGGGAGCACTAAGGGAGCTCCACGTCTAGTCTTGGGAGCTAGGAGAGGCAGCCTGGAAGAAGTCAACTGGTGCCAACTCCTAAAGAAAGGAGAGGAGCCAGCCAGACAAAGGGAAAGAACTGGAGAAGTGAGCCAAGGAAGAGTGTGCCAAAGCCTGGAGCTTCAAGGGCCTGCAGTGGGCTTAGGTGAGGGATTTTGCCTTTGCAGAGACTCAGGAGGGACAGAGAAGGTGCAGCCACCGAGGGCAGGCGGCGATCATTTGGTGAAGGCCTTTGTGTGGAGTTATGTTTTAATATTGGATCCAAAGGAGAGTCTGGACGTCTGTGAAGCAGAAGAAAGCAAGACTGGATCTTCCCTTGGAGAAGGCAGTCTCCTGAGCCCTTCCTGAGCGCTGGGTGCCAGTCTAGTGTTTTACTCGTTTTATCTCAGTTACTCTTCAGAACAGCTGGCCAAGATGAGAGGAAGAAACTTGAAGTCAAGGCAGCAATTTAACGAGGCCCCTAAGGGTGGGCCACGGGTGCTGATCCACACTGGAAATATCACCCCTGTAGAACATAGTGTGGCCTGCATTGTGTGGAAACTTATTGGAAAAACAGAATCTTTGTCTGATCCTGACTTTCTAGGTCAAAATCTGCATCTTAACGCGCTCCCTCAGTAACTCCTGTGAACACTGAAATTTAAGCAGCACAGATGGCGATTCCTAAGTTTGGCAGTGCTTTAGAATCACCTGGGGAGTTTTGAAACTCAGTCTGTACCCTTAGGTCAGTTTCATCAAAAGTGCTGGGGCTGCAACCCAGGCATCAGGCTTTTTCAAAATTATCCAGTCAGCCAAATCTTTGCATTTTACTTCCTAGTTGCCCGGTGAGAGCAGAACAGCCCCTGCAGGGAGAGTTCAGCTCAAAGGGTGCAGGGTCTGTCCAGCCACAAGCTGCCCTGTGGCTTTAAGAACTGGGACTGGCTGGGAGCCCAAGAAGCCACTGCTGCTGCACTGGCCAAGGGAGCCAGGCTATGGGAGCTGAGCCACCACCATCAGCGCCAGGGGCTGGCCCAGGCTTGCAGACCTGAGCCCCTCCGAATGCGCCTGTGCCTGTGGTGAGCGGAAGAAAGGGACCTTCATGGCTTTTGGAGGTAAGGACACCCTAAGCACACGTTCCTTGAGGCTGACAAACAGAGAGGAATTGTGCAAGGCTCTAGTCAGACGTCCCAAACAAACAGCAAGTTAGAAGGAGAGGACTGCAGCACAGCCTCCTCCTGCCCCAGGAGACACCCACCCTCCCATTCCACCTGAGGACCCAGATCTGACAAGAGCTCACCCTAGGGGTGGGTGTGGGCAGAGCCAATCACCAGGGCAGAAAAGTCCCTGAAGTTCTATCCTGGGACCCATCTGTTCTTGAAAAGTCAGGACCCAGTTCATGACAAGTGGTACCGGCTGACTGGCTCAACCTATCAGGTGTCACTGCCCTCCAGAGCCCGAAACATGTCAAAGCAAAGAAAGGGAAACTGAAACTGTCCAAGTTGTCTGTCAGCTTTGGGACCCAGCCTGCTGTGTATGAGGTAATGAAGCTTATGGCCAAAAGGGGTTGGGGTGGAAAGAGGCGGCAGCATTGGGAGGGAAGGAGCTGCAGGCTGCAGCAGACTTGGGGCAGTGAGTGCACAGTTTTCTGGATGCCTGCAGGGCTCAAAAGTCCTGCTTGCCTCTGGAAATCTCTCTGGGGCTTTCTCAGTCTGTTTCCTTTGGGGGCACGAACACCAAGGTGGAACAGCAAAGTGTAGCAGCCAGCTTCTGACCTGTGTGCCAGCCAGTGCTAAAGGCCTCCGGAGCCATGTGACTTTGGGGAGTCTCCTCTCTAACTTATCTGTGCCTTCCTGCTGCCTTCTTCTAGGGCGGGGGATGGAGAGCTCTCTGTGATCCAGCTTACTTTAGGAGAGGAATGCAAAACCATCTGTGAGCTGGGGAGCACAGCTGGCTGGCTGTGCTGGCAGGAAGAAGAATGTCGTTAGCACTGGTTTTCACAAGGGACAGGGGAGGAGCTTTATACCTTCAAGGTAATTGGTTACCTTACAAGATAAAGGGAAGGGATGGTGAGGCTGAAGCCAGGAGTGGGAAACAAAAGGAAAGTGGTCTTTCCTGGGTGGTGGAGTGAAGCCGCAGCAGAAGGAAGGGGAAGGCAGCATGGGGTTCGCTAAAAGAAAGCTGAACTGGGCCTTGTGCATAATTATGACGAACCATTTCAAGGAGTCAGATGTCACCTCTGGTCCTGATCCCAATCCCAGGTCCATTGGTGACCCCTGACGTGTTTTATTTATATACTCAACCACACTTGGAAAACTGGGAAATTTCATGTGCAAATCTGAAAGTTCTGGCAGCGCTGGGCTCACTGTCAGCAGAGCAGTGGCAGAGAAGCCCAGTGTGCCAGCGTCCCTGCCTCGCTTAGGCTGTGAGCCTTTGCACCTCTCTCTGTGACTGCCTGGCTCCCATGGGGGTTGCAGGTTGGTTCTGATAATAATGATTCTCTTCTACTGAGAAGAGTGTGAATGTCTGCATCTGTGTGCACCTGCACCTACAGGGTACACAAGTCTATGCTCTTTCAATTAATTTCGATTAATAACTCTTTTTCAATTGAGCGCGACAGATGCACAAAACCAAATGTACCCCTCTCCTTGACAGATTTTGCAGCCTTTCCAGGCGATCTGCCAAATTGCTAGATGGTATTTGCCTTAAAAACAAAAAAACTAGAGTGCATTTTGTTGTTTTGGTCTTAAGGATTTCCCAGCCTGTCTTAAGACAGTCTTTCTTTTATGCCACACTTTGTAACTTTCAAAGCATTTCTTAAACACTAGTGAATTCATTTTATCCTGCTGGAAGGTCCAGAAGGTCAGAGTTTGGTTCTCCTTTCCAAGCTTCCTTGGAGGAAAATGACTTGTAGAGATGTTAAATGACTTGCCCTGGTCCCCTAGAGATGTTGAGATTGACATTCAGGCACACAGAAAACTAAGTGATGGCTTCTCGACTGCATGGAATTGTAAAAAGTGATGCTTTGAAAAGCATGGTGACTGAGAATGTGGTCTCATTCCAGAATACATGAGTTGGACTGCCAGTTTGGCCACCCATAATGCTGTCTTCGGACAAACTGCTCAATTTTCCTGTGCCTCCTTTTCTGTAAAATAGAGATAACACCTTGCAAATATTGTTGTGTGTGGATTAAATGAGATCTTACATGTGAAGTGATTAGACAATGCTTGGTGTATACTAAGCTTTCGATAAATATCACCATCATACGTTGTAATAGTATTTGTACTTTTAAGAAGCACTGTATTAGGGCATAGGCCAGGCTGTAACGAAAAGATCTCAAAATACATTGGCAGAAAAGAATAGAAGGTAATTTCTCTTTCACCCAATGGCTAGGAAGTAGATGCTCAATGAAGTGCAGAGAAACAACTCTGCTCCTCACAGTCACTCGGGAACCCAGGTTCCATCCATCTTGTTGCTCCCTCTTCTGCTGAGTCAAGTGGGCTCACTTCCATCTTCTGTTCCTGCCAGTAGGAAGAAGGGGAAAGGAAGTGGAGGATGAATGTCTCAATAACATAGTTTAGAGACTTATGATCAGCCAGTCAGGCTCATATGCTTGCTCAAGTTTGTTTGCTCACTGATAACCAAATCAAAGGAGGCCATTTACAATGGTGGGAAAAAGGATTTATTCAGAGCTAGCTCTGAGGAAATGGAGGAGCTCATTTGCCTTGAATCATCATCTCTCCATGTACAAGTTAGTAAGGGTCTTGAGAGCTGATGTCTTCCCACCTCCCCAAATGTCCAGCTGTCTATGAACTGTTGCTTGCTGCTGTCTCATGGGCTCCTCCCACTTAGCATGCAAAAGTCAAACTCCTCCTCAGCCTTTTCCAGAACTTGCCCTTCTTGCATCCTTTGTTTTCAGGAATGTCACAGTTAGCTACTTGCTCATGCCAGGGAAACTAAATTTAATAATTATAGAAGATTCCTCCTTTTCGTTGGATGTCTTGCATGCAGTCAGGTATCAGACTTGGTAAGCTTTCCTATCCCTTGAATCTCCCCTTCCTTTTATTCTCATCCACTGGGAATTCTTGCTTGTTTCCTCACACAGCTAGGGCAAGGGTTCCAACAGGACCCCTTCTGCACTTTCGTCCCCCACTTGATCCAGCAGGATTGTCCCTCCACAGCTCTCTGCTCATGATATCTTCATACCTTTCCATGCTCCCAAAGCTCTGGATGAAGTCCATGCTTCTTCAGTCTAACCCCTGGCCCTTCCAGATCAATCTCCTCAGCCTCCCCGCCTTTCCCCATCTTACACAGGGTGTGCTCGCCACTCCCAGTGCTGCAGGTCTGTGCCTTCTTCTACCTCTTTCCCCATTAGCAGCTCTGTATGCAAGTGCAGAGGGTGCCCAATGAGTGGTAAAGGAGTGCTATATTTTTCCAGAAACTTAACTCCCACTCATAGAGCCTGTGCATCAAGGTAAGGCCCATTGTAACAACTCTTCAGGGGGTTTCTGGCTTTTTAATGAGCATCCTTTGGCTTTAAAAATCAGACTTGTAGAAGCCTCATATGCAGCAACTGGAAATGAGCCACGGGTTCCTTGCTAATTCACTCGCAGGGAGAACTATCCTCCCTCCTCCTTCTCTGTCTGCCTCCTTTCTTCTGTGGGTTTCTTCATCCACTTCACCATTGCATCTGACCATGGAGTGAGAACTTCAGTAAGACTTAGGACCAGAAATGGGAGATAGATCCTCTGTGGGGGTAGCTGTGCCTTCTTCACTTTCCTGTTGATCAGACAAAATACCCAACACCTACAACTTAAAGAAGCAGAGGTTTATTTCAGTTCTTGGTTTCAGTCCATGGTCAGCTCACCCCAAAGCAGGAATGGCATGATGGATGGGCATGTCAGAGAAAACCGTTCATCCCTTGGCAGCCAGGAAGCAGAGAGAACGAAGGAAGGAGCCAGGAACAAGACTACCCTTCCAGTTCACAATCCCAGTGACCCACCTCTTCCCACCACTTCCCACTTCCCAACAGCACATTCAGCTATGAACTCCACAATGGGTGAATCCACTGATAAGTACAGCACTCCCAAGGCCCACTCACCTTCCAAACATGTGAGGCTTTGGGGGACGTTTTAGACTTAAACCATAACAAGCTGCTAGTTAACTTGTGGCAGACTAGACTTACTGTTGATCAACATGGCTGTCCTCGACCGCAAGGACAGTGAGCAGAGGAGGTGTCGTGAGGGTGCCATTGCATTGACATAGACGGGACACATTTACATCTTTCTACAATGTTGTTCTTTGTTGAATAACAATAAACTCACAAGCTGCATACATTTCATCAGTTTTAACTTGCTGAGTGCTTTAAATTCCACTTGGTGTCAGGCCCAAGGCAACCACAAGTGCTCCAATCTTAATTACTGATATCCATAACAGTCACACCACATGTTGCACTTCACACAATAGTACACAGGGTACAGATGGCCAAGAAGGGGCAAACAACCATAAAGAGGCCTACAGAGAGAGTAACAGCAGGAGCTGACAGCCACACCGCAGCCTCCATGGGAGGACTGGTAAGGGGTTGCAAACCAAGACTGGTGGTGGCAGAGCTGTGGGGGTGGAGGAGCTCAGAGCGGTCAGATGCAAGGGGGATTTCAGGTCTGAGTCCAAGTCTGAAAGTTTCTAACGTGTCAGCCTAAAGCCGGCTGTGGGTAGCACAAGCAGGACAGCTTGCACCTTGCTAAAACTTTGAGGACAGGTGAAGGTTCTATGCCTGCCTGGTGATTTTCCTGGGCAAGGCTTGTGGCAAGTAGGGAACCGGAGGACAAGATCAGTGATGCCACCAGAAACTTACACTCACTCACAGAGCCTGTTTATCAAACCATGCCAGTTGGGGGTCCTTCCTTTCATTGGTCTCAGGTGAGGGGGTTGCATCTGGTATACTAGATAAACTCATGTCTGGTTCTTCTGGCTTAATATTGCCATGTTTGTGTCCTGATTTAATGTGATAAGTTAATTTTTTATTGGCATGAGTAAGTTATTTATCATGGCATGAGTAAGTTATTTATCAGTCTTGCCTTGTGGTTCTTCTGGACAGATGACCCTGGTTATTGGC